AGACCAGCGCACTCACAGCGCCATAGGACGAATAACAAGGCTGCGAAACGCCAACTTCCCACTAAGATCGTGCCCCCGTGCCGAATGCTGGATCGAAATTATGGCCTTTTCCGTGCTGCTAGGCCCCGCCGCGACCGCCTTTTCAGTCCAGCTCGACCGCTCACCTACGGTCGGCGAGTTGTGCTCCGTTCTGGTTGACTTTGCCGACGAGGGCTGCCACGTGGCCTTCCGCCAAAAGGACGCGGACTCGTGTGCAGTCGAGCTCACGCCTTACGATTCCGGCGGCGACGGCCTGAGCGCAGACGAGGCTGAAGCTGCGCTCGACTCCATTCCGGCGAAGCTGGCCGAGGCACTCAAGGCGGTTAACGTCGAGTCGAAGTGCGTGCGCGACCAAGTGCGCGGTATCATCGAGGCAGCCGCCTGGGGCAAGTGACAGCTGGCGCGCAACAGCTGGAATTCGAAGCAACGCTGGCCCCACGAATACGCAAGCTACCTTCAGCTCATCTCGAAGAACAGCCCTCGTTGGCGAGTGTTGAAGGGGCATTTTGCAAGCTTGCCAGGCCCTGCTTGCACGCGATGAGACGGTGGAACCCTGCTTGCACGCGATGAGCAAGGGCTCAGCCATGCGTCCTCGCCCCGCGTGCCTATGCCACGAAACGCGGAAGAAGAATTCACCCGCGGTGCGCGCGAGGGAGTTTTGTTGTCGTAGTGGCAAGACGTGCTCTCGACAGCTAAGGGCTAAGTAAGACGCGCTCATTGTTGCAATGTCATTGAGGCAGGAAAGAGCTCGCCGAGGAGTCGAGGGCTCCCGACCACGCCGGACCCAGCCAGGATAAGGCACGCTTGCCTTAAACTGCCATGAAGAGCACTAAATGTGCGATAAAAAATCTGTTGAAAGCGCCACAAAATGTGTTTGGAAGAATCTCTCGCAAATGAACAGCGAAGGGCGCAGTGAAAAACGATAAAACAAATCTTCAAAGCGCCTTGTATTCATGGTTAGGCACCCTCGGTCAGCTGTTCCCACAGCAGGCTGGAAGTACTCACGCTGCCCCTAGGACTCTGGGAGCGAACCAGGAGCTTGCGCTCCCCAACACTGCGTCACCTCCCACACTGAGGTGTTCAATACCCCGGTCGCGCGCGCGCCCCTGGCACTGGCCCGACACTCGCTCCCCTCGACGCGGTGCACACCACACCGGTCGACCGCGCATCCTAGGCGTGCCGCGCACCTCGCCGGCCGACTCGCACTTTTTGCGCCCCGCTCTCTCTCCGCCCTCTCTATGCCTCGCAAAGCAGCCGGCGCCCAGCCGGCGAGGGAGGGCACCCTGGACATGCTGAGCGCGCGCTCCTCGGCGGTGCGCGGGCTCCCCTCCTCCCCCCACCCCTACGATCCCACCGCCCAGAGAAGCGGCCGCGCCCGCCACTCGGGCCACCACGTTGCCCACATGGTGTCAAGGGGAATGATTTTTTGCCGGCGCCGCAGGTGCGCGCGCGACTCGGCAATGATTCCAACGTCTCGGTCGACTACATTGAGGCGTGCGGGGACTGCTTTTACCTCGCCATCGAGTCCGCCCTGTCGGAGATTTGTGGATGGCAGCCTTACTACGCTGTCGCGATGCAGCGGCAGGCTCGAGAACGCCGCCCCGCCCCGCCCGCGCGCGCCCCGTGCACCGCGCTCCTTATCACCCCTCCACGCCCGTACCCTCAACCCCGCCCTCGTCCCCCCCCCCCCCCCCCCCACCCACTCCCCTCGTCCCTCTCACCTATGACAAATGATGTGAGTCAGCGACGCCTGCTCTCCCCCTGCCGCATCCGACCCCCGACCTCCCCTAAAAATCACAGCTGGTCGCCTCCCAAATCACCGACGAGACATACCAGCTCTACCAGTTGCTGCACGCCCAGCGCGCTGAAGGTGCCCTCGCCCCTCCCCCCTCCCCCTACCCACCTCTCCCCCCCGGACCGACTGCACCGAGCTGTGCCTCCGCACCACAGGGATCGAATACATGCACGTGATGGACTCGCAGGAGGCCCTCCGCAAACGGG